CTGCCCAGCATTTCTTTTTTCCTCTGCATTCTTGGCTATCTTCTCAAGTTTGTCCTCCTTATCACTGGGTAGTGGAATTTCTAATGTACTCACTTAATTTCAATAGTACTCTGGAATCAGACTGACCAACTTTTTGTATTTTAGCTCTGTAAATAAATAGCAGTATGGCCTTGGGCATGATGTAAAATGGAGATAGTAGCAATTTCTCCCTCACAGTGTTGTGAAGATTAAATGACAAAATTCTCTTAAAGAGTTTAGCAAAAGGTAAAAACTAAATACATAAATGTTAGCAAATAAAATTCAGTTAACTTCTCTTTTTCTTCTTCTTGCTAGCTCATAAATGTTAGTATTTCCCAAGGTTTACACTAAGACTTCTTTTATTATACCCTGTATCTCAGGGGATAATCGTGGTTTCAAATACCATCTATGCCAAAAACTACTAAATTTGTATCTCCAACAGAGATCTTTTTCATTTACTGTATCTTTCATGAAGGAAAGAAATTGAAACCAGAGATGAATTTAGTGTTACAAGACATCCTTATTGTAGTTAATGCTACACAATTTAGACTTTTTCAAAACCTTATAATTAGATGGAGAGCAGCAGTGAAATTTTTTTGTAACATCTGGAGGATTTTTTGTTACTTATAGTGAATATTTAGCTCTTTATTTTTATGATAAATTACACATTTTTCTTTTATAAAATGTTGAGACTATTGGGGGAGGGGAAAGTCAGTAGCATGCCTCTTTGTTATTATTATTTTTCTTTTTTACTGTAGAATTATCTTTTTCCTTTCTTTTTTTAGAGACAGAGTCTCATTTTGTTGCCCTTGGGAGAGTGCTGTGGCATCCTCACAGCAACCTCTAACTCCTGGGCTTAAGCAAATCTCTTGCCTCAGCCTCCTCAGTAGCTGGGACTACAGGCACCGGCCACAATGCCCGGCTATTTTATTGTTGTTGCAGTTTGTCTGGGGCTGGGTGCAAACCCTCCACTGGCCTTGGTATATGGGGCCTGTGCCCTACCCACTGAGCAACAGGAGCTGCCCGAGAATTATCTTTTTATTTTGAGTGAAACCCACAGTAATTTTGGGGGGTTGTCATTAATATTTCACAATATTATAATTCTAACAAATAACTTAAATATCCTCTTGTAATAAATATAATAATATTTTATGGATATTTTGGAACCCTAGTATTAAGTCAACAAATAAATACTAGTCTACATCTACCACCAATGCCTCATACTGTTTCTTTCTAATGAATTGACCATTACATTTCCAAAGTTCTGAAATGGCTAACAGACTCTAGAAAGATAATTCTTTAGGCTCTGCACCTGTAGCTCAAGTGGCTAAGGCGCCAGCCACATACACCAGAGCTGGTGGGTTCAAATCCAGCCTGGGCCTACCAAACAACGACAACTACAACTAAAAATTAGCTGGGTGTTGTGCC